AAAAATATATAATAAGATAAGAAAATTTAATATTAATAATTTTTTAAATTTAATAAAGTAATCTTTATATAATTTCTTTAATTTTATTAAATCTAACTTTGATAGCTTTTATTAAGTTTATTTAATATAAATTAAGATTATTAAAAATATTATCTTTAAGATATTAATCTCTTAGTTTAATAAGAAGATTATTAATTAAATTAAAAAAGATTTAAATTTAAAAATATATATAATCTAAAGAAGTAAGAAATCTTTTAGTAAAAAAGATTTAAAAGATTTTATACCTACTAGTTAGAATTAATTAAAAGGGAATAGAAGTAATAGAAAGAGTAATTAGAAAGGTAATTAATTTTATTTATATATTTTTTCTAGAAATCTTTATCTTAAATAAGAAGATTATTTATATTATAATAAATAGATTTAAGAAAAAGATTAGATTCCTAATTTAGAGAAGATTAAAATAATAATTAAGAATATTATTAGATATTATTCTCTAATTAAGTTTATTAAAGACTATAAAATATAATCTTTAATAAAGTTAAAAATATATAAATTAGTATACTTTTAACTAGATTAGTTACTTACTTTAAAAGAAAGTTTTTCTTATTAAATTAGTAAGGATACATTTATAGAAAGCTTTATTTATAATAATAACTTAGAAGATTATATTTATAATATTAAAAGTCAGTTTATTATCTTTAAAGATTTTAATCTAACTATTAACTTTATTAATATATTAGAAGACTAAATATTAATATATAATATTAATATAATTAAAGTCTTTTTTACTATGCCAGATAAAATAAAATTTAGACAGCTAATAATTTTTTATAATATATTATACTGCCCAAAGATATTAATTAGCCTTATTTCTATTAATAAGTATAAGAAAGAGGGCCTTTATTAGAATAACTATAATAATATTCTATATCTTTTAAAAAAAGATTCAGAAAAAATATAAGTTATAAGAATCTTTAAGCATTATAATTAAATTATTATTAAATATAATAAATTATTAATAAGCATAATATATATAACTAAAAGATTAATTTTATATTTAAAGTAAGTTACTAAATTAATTATTTCCTATTAATATTAGTATAATTGCCTAGAGCATTTTAATAAAAAGATTCTTATTTATTTTAAAAAGAATGTATAAGGAGCACATATTTCTAGTAATTTTAATATATCTTTTTATAAATACTATAAATTAGTAAGAGTATTAGTCTAAATCTTATAATAACCTTAAAGGACTAGAAGCTTATTTTAAAAGATTATTTACTTTAACCTTATTTTTATTAAAAGATCATATAATAATATAAAGTATATAATTTATTTTTACTACCTTTATTCATAATATCATAAAATTATCTTTATATAAGATAAAAAGGTCTAAAGACCAATTTATAATTTCCTAAAAAGCCTTATAAGAAGAAGCTTTAATATTAGGTTTATTTATACTAACAATGAGTAAGTACTAGAAAATAAATATATCTTATTCTATAAAAGAATAAATATTAAGCAAGAATATACTATAAATTATATATATAAGCAAAATAGCCTAATAAAAAGATTCAGAGTATTTCTAATTACTTTTATAAGAATCCTTATATATAAAGTAAATCTTCTATATTTATTCTAGCCAAAAGGACTGCAGCATATAATTTAATTAATAAATTAATAATTAAATTAATAACTTAATTAAAGAACATCTTATAAGATTATTTAGAATTTTTATAGCTAGAATAATATTCCATATTTAAGAATACTAAAAACCTTCAGTTATAGAGTATATTAAAAGATTTTTAATATCTTATACCTCTAAAAGATAATAAAATATATAGAGATGGAATATCTTATAGAAATTAAATCTTTTAATATTTTTTAGATTTAGATTCTAGACTAATAGACTATTATTAAAACTTATAATATTGTATTTAATAAAGATATATTTTTTAATCTATTCTAGTTAATCTAATAATATAGTTTATAGAAACCTATTAAATTTAAAGAAATATTTAATATTATTCTAAACTTAAGAGATAATCTAGTAGAAGAATTAAAATTAAATAAAGAAATTATTAAGGAACTAGAAAATATATAGGAATCTATTAAATAGATCACTTTAAAAACATAAAAAGAGATCTTTAAGAAATTATATTTAATATATCTCTTAACACTATTAATAATTAATTCTAGATATAGGTAATCTTTAAATTTATTATTAAATTAATCTACTTAAAATAAGGAATCTTAAATATTTATATGTGATTAAAAGAATATTTATTTATTTATTTTAAAATCTCTATTTTCTACAGAAAAGACTACTAATATATTATATAACTATAATATTAAAACTAATATATAACTTTAAACTGAAGCTTAATTATATAATAATTATAAGTATGTACTTAAATATAATAATTTTTCTACTATACTTAACACTTTTAATATTATAAAAGATAAGAGAAGTTATAGATTAAAAATTAAATTAAATATAAAGTTTTATTTTACTGCTTTTAATACTATGTTAAATATTTAGAAAGAATTAAAGAATAATTTTTTATATTTATATCAAGATAAGCTTCTTAAGGTTTTAAATTACTAAAAAAATCTTTTTAAACTATCTTAAATCTACTATAAAGGATTTATAAAGGCTATAAGGAAGGAATATTATATCTTATTAAAAAAAAAACATTTAAAGAGATAAAGGAATTAGATATTAATCTAAATCTTAAATATATTAAGATTTTATCTTTATACTAAGTATTTATTTATAAACTAGATAATAATAGTTATTTAATATATTATAAGACATATTTTTACATTAGAGGTAATATATAGCTTAGCTAAGATAATATCTATATTATTATAATAAATATAAAAATAATCTATTGTTTATTATATCTTATAATTATTTTTAGATATAAGATAGACTAGTATAATATAGTTAATATTTTTCTAAATATTTTAATTAATAAGAAATACTTTTTTATATACTTTTCTAAAGATATTAAGAGAAAGAATAGATATATATTAAAACTATTAAAGGCACTTTATAGTTTTAAGTAATCTTTTTAACTATAATAGAAAGAACTAGCAAAAATATTTTAGAAATTTAATATAAAATAATACTTAAATAAGGTATATCTCTACTTAAATAAATATCTTATTATCTTCTTCTTTATTAATAATATTATAACATTCTATAAACTAGGAAATAAACACTATTATATTTTATTTTAGGAAAAAATTATAAGTAAATATAAAATCAAGACACTTAAAGATATTAAATAATTCTTAAGTATAAGAATTATTTAGAATAAAGATATAAAGATTATTTATTTATGCTAAGATTCCTATATTAAGAAGATTATAAAATATTATAATCTATTTATTAATAAACTACTTATAATACTAATGATTATTATTAAATTAATATCTTATAAAGATAAAGTAATATCTTCTTAGATTATACTTTATTAAGGAAAAATAAGATTTATATTATATATAGTAATTATAATAAGACTTAATATTGCCTATATAACTTCCTATTTAAGTATATTTATATAAAATCTAGTATTAGCTTATATAAAAGCTATTAATTATATACTTTTATATTTTTACTATATAAGATTTTATATAATATACTTTATAAGACTATTTAGAACTAATCTAGTTTATATAGTAAGTAATATAGCATTTACTAACTATCTAGATTAATATAGTATTAAGGCCTTTCTTTTTAAGCTATTTAAAGATTTAATTAATTAGATTTTAAAGAAATAGAGAATTATTATTATATTTACTACTAAAACTAAGCTTCTTATCTTATTTAATATAGGAAAATAGCTCCTTTAATAAAAATAATTCTTTAAAACTATTAAATTTAATACTAAATAGGATCCTCTTATTATTAAATATAATAACTATTAAATAGTATACTTAATAATTAAAAATAAAGTAATTTAAATATATCTTCACTATATTAATATTTATAACTACTAGCTATATGAAAAGATATAAAATTAATAAATTAATATATACTAGGTTAATATTAATAGTATAACTACTAATAGCCTTACTAAATCTCTCTTAATTAAAAAGCATAAAGCCTTTATTAAGTATTTAGAATTAATTAATATAAATTATTATATTAAATTTCAGCTTAATTAGAAACTTTATTAGTATTAATAAAATATCTAATATAAGGAATCTCTACTAAGTCTAAAAAAATAGTCTACTTAATAAAATAACTAATTAGTATAACTTTTTATATCTTTTCTTCTTTTTTTATTAGTTCTTGGTTTGATTTTTAAATTTATCACTCTTTTTATTACTTCTTAACACTATATTTTTATATAAACTATTAGATATTGCTTTTTTCTTTTACTTCATTCTTTCCTATTTTAGATTATATGCTGGAGGGGTGTAACAGCAGATTATGACTATTATTCCAAATATAGCATGTAATCTATAATTAACATTATATTTTACAGAGATGCATCTAATTGGCTAGAATAGGCATTAGATACATGTCTTAGTTAACCTCTATTCTGATTATAAATATGGCCTCAAATAACCCCTGAATATTCTCTTTAGTTAGATATGCAGATTATATAGTATTCTCAATACTAGCTAATACAGCGTTCCGAATCCGTTGTTACATTCCCTTTGCTAACTGACCAGGTACATTGCCGACCCGTTATGTACGCTCTAACGTAATCTACCACCTCGGAGAAAAAGTGGCGGTTCGCTTAGATTACGTTAGGTAGCGCTGTTTTACTAAGCGCCTCATTACTATGCACGGTTTAATCTCCCTTGGTGGTGGCACTAAAGACTAAGGTGGGGGAGATTCCCCTCCATCTCAGACTAGGTAGTATATAGCCCATCTCTCATAGCATGAGATTTACTTCATATATTCGTTGCGTTGTGCCAAAACACTTATATCACGGAAACTTTCAAGTATCGATAATTGCTCTACTGAAATTTGGATTATCATGGCTGATCCTCTTTCGGTTACTGCTAGTCTCGTGGGATTAGTTGGCTTTGCATTTCAGGCAAGCAAGTCCCTTTATCAAGTCATTGAAAGTTTCAAATCCTCAAAAAGAGCGGTCCGTGAACTTCGAGAGGAGGTCGAATCCTTGAACGGTGTTCTGGCGACGTTGTCACAGATGGCTATCGAATATGATGCTCAACTGACGTCTTTGAAGCTTCCTTTGCTGCGATGTGGTAAAACATGTGCAGAATTCGAAGATGTTATCAGCAAAAGCGCGGGACATTCAGATGGCCAGAGGACAAGCTTTCGTGACTGGGCGAAACTGCAGTATAGAGGAGGTGGTATTGGAGACTTGAAGACTACTCTGGCTGGTTATAAATCGACCATCAACATTGCCATTGGCGGTGCTACTTTGTAAGTCAGTCAAACAGAGATAAATTCTTCCTAGCGAGGTGACTGATTTGATTTAGTCGCCAAGCTGCAGTTACAGCAAACGTTCTTGATGATTATAAGAGGATGATCGATGAAGCCACATCTGATCTGCAGGATCATCTGCAGCTAATTGATGAAAGGATGCAATCGCTCATACAGAATACCGCTTCAATGCCAAGCCTAGGCCCTCCCGAAGTTGAAGAGATTATAGAAGAAAAAAGGAGTATACAACAGTGTCTGGCAATCTGCACACAGGTTTCTCAATTGATAGAGACATATCAGACTCGTCGGATGATCTATCAATCACCTAGTGAATCCGTTCCACACCAATTCTCGACCTTTAGAGCAGAAAAAGCGACGAATGATTTGCTAATGGGGTTTAAAAACAAGTTGTCTTCCAATGCCAACGACCTTCAAGTTCGGCTAAAAGAACTTGAGGATCGTCTTGGAAAACTCTCTAGAGAGAGCAATGATCAACAAGACTTGAGTCTTCTCCAAGCTATGAAAGAGGAGAGAGATAGTATCACACAATGCCTCGAAATATGTACAGATGCATCCGACTTTACGGCAACAGTTCGTACGAATGTCTATGAGGATGTGACATCTGCCGACAACGCTCATCAATTGGTCGTATCAACAATAGGTGAGCTTATATCGGCAAGGCATATCATAACTGGTTCCAACTCAGTCCAGTGGCTAGGACAAATGTCTGATGAAACCATCCAAAAGCTTTCCAATGACAACAAACGCATTGTTCCTGAAAATCAGACCAGCGCACCGCAAGGGCAGAAAAGTGTATTTAACGACCTTTATGGAGCGGGATACCAGCTGAAAGGTGAAGTATAAATGGCGAGTGGCAAGATCGGAAAATAAAGAGCTCATACATCGATTTGGTATCATTTATTCATTTCAATTTATCGCAAGTAGCTAGGCTACACAAGAATATGGCATCTCTGCCAGAAACTTTGGTTGTCTGACCGTTGAGTATAGCCAGGATAGCTATTAGTGGGCAAAGTTAATAGGCTTCTAATATATAAGAGGTATATAGAACATATTGTCGGGAACTTTGGTTAGGCTAAGATCCACCCTAGTTGTCACTGGCCATGTCGAGGTACGATATAGTGCTATTTAAATCACATAGAGGTACGGCTCCTCAACCTCATCTCCCAGTAGTTCAGTTATCGCGACGGCGACTTCATCCACAAGTGCGGCAGCTACGAGCATCTCAACCTTTGTGGTTTCGCAAAATGCTACTACTGGACAGTACCGCAATGTCACCGCTGCCATTGCTGCTTTGCCAAATGACGGGCAGGATTATACCATCTACAACCTCGCTGGTACCTACACTGAGCAGATTTCCATCACCCGCTCTGGAAAGGTCACTTTGCGCGGTGAGACTTCTTTCACAAATGATTATACCCAGAATCTAGTCACTACCATATATTCCAGCGGTGAGCTCACCAGTGCTGGCAAAGACGAGAGTACTCCCATCATTAATGCGAAGAAGACCGACGGCACTAGCTTAGCTCTGTACAACATCAACTTTCACAATACCTATCCTCAGACCAAAAACACTGCCGCTCTCGCTGCCGACTTCTATAGCACGAACATCGCAGCATACGGCTGTTCCTTCGTTGGCTTTCAAGATACCTTGCTGGCAAACATGGGTACGCAAGTCTTCTCCAACTGCTACATTGAAGGTTCCATTGATTTCATCTGGGGATACTCGACCGCATACTTCCATCAGTGTTACATTGCTACCAATACTCCTGGATCATGCATTTCCGCTCAGAGCCGTCCTTCCTCTACCGCATCTGGCGGTTATGTCTTTGATACTTGTTATGTCACATACACCAGCAGCTATGGCCCTAGTTACGGTGAATCGTATCTGGGCCGACCATATTCAGAATACAGTATTGCAGTACATATGAACTCATATCTGGATAAACACATCAATGGTGCTGGCTGGCAACAGTGGTCCACCAGTTCGCCCAACACTGAACATGTTATGTTCGTCGAATACAACAACTCGGGTCCTGGTGCCTGGAGCTTAAACCGTGTCTCTTTCGCTACCAACCTGACTGCCACAGAGGCTGCATCGTACACGCTATCGTCATGGATTGGTGATACATCCTGGCTAGACATGACGGCTTATAACCAGGTACCTTCATACAACTTGACCGGATCATCAAGCGCGACTACCACCTCCACCTGGGCGCACCCAACAAATGGAACCGTGCCTCCATCAGGTGCAGTGCTCGTTTCGCCTGGGGGTGTTGTCAAAGGATCATACGGCAATTTGACTGACGCCCTGGCCTCCCTGCCGGATGACTACTCCACACAGATCATCTTCATGTACTCCGGCTCGTACAACGAGCAAGTGCCATCGGTAAACCGCGGCGGACCGGTATAATCATTGGTTATCAGACAGGCAGCCTCGGTGCTACCTACCAGAACAATCAAGTCACCATCACCTTCTCCCACGGCTTGTCCGTCAATCCCTTGCCAGTCGGTCATTCAGACGCAGAGACAGCTACATTCTCGACAACTAGCAACCAAATCGCCATGTACAACATCAATTTGATTAACACCGCCAATCTGGACGGCTCTCAGTCATCCGACGTGGCACTTGCTGCTTCTATCTATGGCTCCGAGATTGGTTTCTATGGTTGTAGCTTTGTCGGTTGGCAAGACACTCTTCTGACGGGCAGCACGACTGGCTACCAGTACTACGAATCATCCTACATCGAGGGTGCCATTGACTTCATCTGGGGCTACTCCAAAGCCTACTTCAAGGGATGCACCATTAGTGCCAAACGGCAGAAGTCTGCGATTACTGCTCAGAGTCGTTCTTCGTCAAGTGCCATTGGTGGATACATCTTTGACCAATGTCTGTTTGAGGCTGCCAGCGATGCTACAGTCGACCTGACTGAACTCGTCTACCTGGGACGACCTTACTCGGAATATGCTTTTGTGGTTGTGAAAAATTCCTACCTCACTGATATCATCAACCCATCAGGATGGAAGATCTGGAGTTCGTCTGATCCTCGTACCGATTATATCACTTTTGCTGAGTTCAATAACTCTGGACCTGGAAACTGGGAGAATAATGCCGCGTCGCCTGAGGCTTTTGGTAACTGTACCTTGTTAACCTCGGACACGTATACACTGGAAGAAGTTATGGGATCCACTGAATGGATTGATATGACGGGATTCAATCGTGACCCCCAAGGCCGCCTCTACAGCCAACGTAACGTCTGTATCAAATTCAACCACTGTCTATGATGGAACTACTTCTCCGTCAGGTGCTTACATCGTGTCCAAGACGGCTATTGCGAACGTGACGACCTTTGATACCATTCAAAGTGCACTCGACGCTTTGCCAACTTCCAGCAAAGTGACACCCACCGTTTTCATCTACCCCGGTACTTATGAGGAGCAACTAGTGGTCAATCGTTCTGGCACCACAATCTTCATCGGATACTCAGAGAACACTTTTCACTACTCCAGCAATCAGGTGACGATCCAATACTAACCATGGTGTGAACACGCAAGCCGATGAGTCCAACTCGGACAGCGCGACTGTGTACGCCACTGGCAACTACCTCCAGGCCATCAACGTCAACTTTGTGAACGACTTCGGCACTACCAAAGACTACGCATCACTCGGATTCGCTGTCAGGTCCAGCAAGTATGCCTCGCTCTATGGCTCCCAGGTGAGAGGCAATCAGGATGCGCTATTGATCAATGGATACCTCTTCGCCAGCAATAGCTATATTGAAGGTAACATCGATATGATTTGGGGCTCTGGGTCTGGTTACTTCCTTAGCTCGACCATCTCACCCAATGAGGATGGCATCAACTTGACCGCCGATAAGCGTGCCAGCAACACCGCCGCTGGCGGCTTTGTATTTGACAAGTGCGCTATAACCCCTGCACCAGGAGCCGGTAGCATGTCCGAAATTTCGTTGGGTCGCCCGTGGAATAGCCACGCACGAGTGGCGTATGTGGAATCGTACCTTGACTCCTGCGTCGAAGCTGCTGGTTGGGAGCAATGGTCTAAGAGTAGCCCGCAGACTGAAAATGTGCTGTTTGGCGTGTATCAAAGTGCATCGACCGCCAATCGAGCCTCGTTTGCAACGGTGTTGAATGACAGCACAGTAGCTCAGTTTGAGCTCACCAATTTCTTTGCTTCGACTTCCTGGATCCAGTTTGACCACGTTGATGGGACTCCATTTGTCCCGGGAAACTTCACGGTCCCGAGTACTTCCAGTATGAGTCTCGCCCCGAGCACATCTGCTGTGATCACGGCCACTCCCACTGCAACACTCACTACTCTTATCACTGTTCCCGATACAGACACCGCTTTCACGACCCTTACACCCGCTGATATTACCTCGACAGTCATGATGACGGTGACGGATGACACAAGTGCTACCGTGACTCTGCCTGAGTCGTTTAAGACCACTGTAGACAGAACTACGATTTTGAGTACCACGACCATCGTGGAACCGACAGTAACAAGCATCAAATCGACAGTGATAACAAGCTCAGATATCCAGACTATCACAGCCCCCGCTAGAACGAAGACCACTTCGGTCATCGATACCACAACGGCTATCGTTACCGTGACCAAGGCCGATACTACTACCACAGTCAAGGCAACAGCCACAGTCACCAGCATTATCACATCATCCGCTAAGGCTGAGACAGTCACTGTGACGAAGGCCATTACAACCACCAGCCCCAAAGACTTCGACTCCTCGCGCCGTCAAAGTCACTTCGTATACAACCATCACCGAGGGCAGCGGCGGCACTACGACAAAGAGCATCAAGGCCACCACCACCACCGTGGATCTGACTTCTACTAAGACTAAGCATAAGTTTGTTACAACCACGCTCAGCTGCATTCCTGCGGCTAATGGCAAGCGCGATTTGTTCCAGCCCCGGGCTAACACAGCCGACGAGGTCACTATCACCGAGTACACGACTTTGACGACTTGTAACAATACTGAGACGCTTGAACCAGCCGTACCCACTGCGTATGTCACAGTCACAACAACTCAAACGATCGGTCATACGTCCACCGTCAAAGCTTCAACCAGCACAATCACCAGTGTCTCAGCTACGACCAAGTTGGCCACGGAGACCGTCAAGGCTGTGACAGTCTACCTGGCCGAGAGTAGTACTAGGACGATCGCAATGACCACTACACTGAAAGCCAGCACCATCACAGATACGATCATTTCTACGGTTACCAAGACCTCGACCGTGACTGCGCCTGGTGCGACTGCCACAGTGACCAGTCTGAAGACAACAACAATCAAGTCAACCATCACTGCGCCTCGAATCACGGTTACCAAGACCAAGGAAGCCATCAGCAAAGTCAAGGAGACTATTACGTTGCCCACCCCTATAACGACTATTCTCAAGACTACCACCGTCAGTCCCAAGCCATCCGTGACTATTACGGATCAGGCAACCAAGACACACACGGCAACTGTGAAGCAGACCGTCACTGAGACCCAGACCGTTACCAAGACGTCGAAGAACGCGAAGGCTTGCCCTACCTAAGGTACTTTGGGAGATAGGCATAGGAGATGAATTTTTTGCATGGTGTTTTCTCTTAATATCTGAAATTACTTAGACTATAGATATAAATTTTAATACAGGCATGTTTACTTCAGTTTGACGGCATTATAAGCAATATTGCAATACCACCACGTAATTGCTATGACAGACTCTGGACAGAAAGACCAAGAGCTCATGCCTGTAACATAGAGACAAATGTAACATATGGCTCTATTCGGAATAGACAATTAGAGAACCAAAAACCGACGAGGACGCCTTCATGGATTAATATAGGGGTGGATACCTTGTTCCGAGTAACTTGCTATCTCTATCGATTGGCATCGCATCTGTTTTGCAGCGTGCTGGTCCGAATAACTTAGATACTGTTCCCGTTTGCGATTCGAGAGAGTAAGGCGACTTTGACATAAGCTATTGGAATAGCAATTCAACTTTCCATGACTCTTATTTACTTTATTTTCTAATCACGTTCACGGCATCTGTCAATAATAGGAGGCCTTGTTATTTTATACCATAGTAACTTGCCAATTGAATTAATACCATGAAACTATGGATTCTCATATGTTTGAAACCATCATCATTGTTCAAACGGCCATAGCTCACGCTGATAAAGTCTACTGAGTTGACAACGGCCTGAACTAGTCCGACCAATCAGGTGTGGGAAAATGTAAATCGCAATTGGGTCGTTGGCGCACCGTAGTTAGCTTCTGGCTCCTCTCTTCTGTGTCCTCATGCTCCAGAACATAAAAAAGGGCTACTTAGTACGTTACTAATAAGTAGTAGTACGTTTTAAAAAAAAGAGGGTTCCAAAGATTGAGTGGGACTCATTGCAGAACCGCACTGCTTCAAATGGTAAAAGGCAATTTGAGGATTCGTTACAGTTACTGCCATCCCGAGTGGGGATCCCTTTAAAGTGACTTATAAGGCTCCACTGATTTTGGTTTCGACTCCCGCGCTGAGCTGTTCTTTTCTTTCTTTTCCATACATACATAATCTCTGGCTAACCCCTTCTTTACCTTGTGCCCTCATGCCAAGAGAGCGAAACGACTTTTCGCTCGTAGGACTCGTAATGCGTAAATTGCAAGGTGTAATTTGCTTTTTGTACGCGTAGAGTCCCGCCGTCATTCGAATGCATTCTCTGCAACTTCAGACTGTAGACATGCGGATGACGAATATATTTGGATGAGTTTGCAAAAATGCTTTCAGTTTAGGCCAAACAAAAATATCCCGTAGAACGGGTGGCTGTACTTTGGGATCATTGAGACCCCGAAATGGGCAAAGATTAGTTATTTTTGTGTATCAGATGAAAATACCGACTATTTCATATTATTTTTATCATTCTCAGCATCATATTCGAGTGTGCCTGGGGAGTAGCTATCATTGATACCTGGTATTGCAAATGCCAATTAGCGTAATTTCCGTGCAGAAAGTCAATGCCCTCGTCACCAACACTTGTACGAATTCAAAGGGCGCTTGAGTACGGACCGATAAGATGATATAAGGGTTGTCTAACGAGCCTTACTATACCAACTATCTAGGTAGGTAGAGTATCTTACATATATATACAGCGACAGAGGTATATCAACGTTTGCTATATCTGTATCTATCAATCTCAGGAATGATAAATCGCACCTAGCTACATGTTAAGTAGAGCTACCTAGGTAAAAGTGCAAGGTCTATAAATATAGACGTATATTGTCAACTGCATTGATGGTTAATATCTACCTACAGTAATGGGCATTATCGTGAATAACAAGTAGAAAGTTCAAGTAAAAATTATCATATAAAATTAAATGGGGTACCCATTGACGGTATGGTATGTGAAGTTAGGTGCAGAATCAAGCTATATATACATATATAATTACACGTAGTTTACAAAGCAATTGTATCATATCGATAATAGTAGAACCGTACGTCGACTCGATTAGTTCTCAACTCTACAAAGCCTTCCATTTTGGGTCGGGTAGTACGGAATCTGGTCCGTGACATACCAATCCTCCGACCCAACCGCAGTGATGGCGTACAGCACTCCCCACGGATCATACTGCTGCTTCATAGCATACAGTTGCGGGTAGTTGCTGCCATAGAACGATTGCTGAAAGTCCGGCTCGTTGATGTCCGCCTCATTCATGTACGCGCCAGAGCCAGGGCTCACATCCCTCCACGTCTGCAACCGCTCCGTCAAGACCTGGTTAGCAGCGGCAATGTCTTCAGGCGTTGCAGTCTGGGTCCAGACTGCGCCCAGCATACCATGCATAAGTGTGTCGCGCCAGGCCGGATTCACAGCGTTGGTCTGGTTGACAGTGGGATTAACGGCAGCTTTGATGTTGTATCCCATCATCATGCCGGCCTCGATGGCGGCATTGCGGATCGCGGCCGATTGAGCAGCGAGAGCGGTGGCATTTTCCCAGTTGCCACGCGGGAACAGGCGCGAGCCTGTATGATAGCTCCAAGTGCCCACGGCCTCACTCGACGCCGGGAAGGTGGAGGTGAAGGCGTTCAAAACACCGTCGAACTCGGTGTATACGACGTCCTCAGGCGCCATGCCAAGCGCTGTCAGGTTTGCGAACAGAGGATCGACGAACTCTTGCAGCTGCGCAGAGGTGCAGTTGTTGGCCCAGTGTGGTGACATGGTAAAGCTACAGCTTGACTCCGAGGCGCACAAGATGGTCCAGTAGCGGTAGTGGCCGGCGTCGGCGTATGCAGGGAACGTAGCCCAAACAGCGTCCATGCCCTCCCAGAAGGTGTTGTTCGTGACATTTTCGCTGGTGCCGAATGAGAATGTCAGGGTGGTGACAGGTAGCTTGGGATACGCGCGGATGACGAGCGAGGTCACCACACCGAAGGTGCTGCCACCGCCGCCACGGAGCGCCCAGAACAGGTCTGGATAGCTCGTCTCAGAGACTGAGACGAAGCGACCGTCGGGAAGCACGACTTCCATAGAAAGAACCTGGTCAGCGGCCATGCCGTACATCGAGATCAGAGGTGAGTGACCACCGCCAGCGATATAGCCACCACCGAGGCCGACAGTCTGGAGAGAATTTTGTCAGTACTGCATCATGCAAAACGAGAACTATGGTGCACCCACAGTTGAAATGCCACCAACGACTTCAAGGCCAAGGGCGTCGGCATACTCGTAGGCCTGCAACGTGTCAACTCCAGACCCGATCTTAAGAGCCGGACCCTTGTATGAGCCGATGGTGAACTCGGGACCGAGGTACTGGATCTCGTTCAGATGTTTAGTCCACACCGAGAGGGAGCCTGCGCCAACATTCTTTGCATTGAAGTCGTGGCCCTGGTTTTTGACGCTCAGACGCAGGTTCAGGCTGCGAGCGAAGTTGAAGGCCAGCTGGATCTGAGCCACATTGGTCACATTGACGATGTACGACGGCATGCCGCCGAGCGTGCACGTAGCATTGGTGGGCGCGAGAGTTGGGGGGAGGCATGTCACGCCCTCGAAGAGAGGCCAGTCAATGCCGGTGGGTTGAGATGCACTTGGTTTTGCACAGTTAGCGATGGGGCGCGAAGCCATATGATAGGGTAGGATGCAAGAGGGACATACTGGAAGTCTGAAGAGTTCCAATCTGAGGTGATAGTTGTGCACTCGTCCGCATTGTACTGATGCCAATTGGAGTAACACGGCGCGGCAACAGGGACGCCCTTGATTAGGGCACCGCCGAGAAGCAGATCGAGGAGGAACCAGTCGATTTCCGACGGCCATGCGGCATCACCTGGGAGAACCTTGCAACCAGCTGAGTCCCGCTTCGCCATGGGGGACGACGCATTGCCGAAAGTGAAGTACTCAATGCCGGTCAGATTCAACGCGGTTAGGTTCGCAATGACCTCAGGCGTCAACTGGGTTGACTCGAACGAGAAGTAGCTGACGCCTGAATCGGCCGAGTCGGGAGACACGTCAGCTGCACCAGGCGCGACTGTCGTTGCATTGGCAGCTGTGTGATCAAAAGTTTAGCAGCTGTTCTCTGTAATCCCCCAGATACTACATCAAATAGTCATGAGCTCCTACCGACGGTCTGGTTGCCATCCCGGATCGTTTGGGCCTGAGCCAGATCAGTGAATGGCAGAGACGCGGCCGCTAGCAGAAGGGCCTTGACAGCGACGCTGGTCACCATCGTGCTGAAATGCCCGAAGCAATTCAGAGGCGATGGTGTGTGGTTTGGAACGGAGAGGAAAGGAAACGCAAAATACTCAACAACAAAGCAAAGTATGAGAGATCATTGTGCCATCTTCGTGTCGTGTATCGGCTTTTTATATTTTCATAGGGTCTCCCTAGTAAACCCGGTCCTTAGTATTTTGTTAATATCCAGGGGGGAAATTGTGGACTACGGAGTACTCCGTACGGAGTATAGCGCGCAGTATTCGTCTTGTGGGACCAATCGGTATGAGGCATATATTCTACAGATCTATCATACACTAACACACAATAAACCCTCACTAAATGCCTGTTTCCCCTTGCGTATCTTGTCATGAGCTCCTCTCCATTCAAACGGTTGGTTGCGCAGAATCGGGCAGCATAAGGTCAACAAACCTCATGCTTCGTCTTTGACAAAAGACTCAAATGAACTGTGCCACATGGTGTTTTCGAACTAAACGTAACTAGTTAAAACCCAAAACCACCACGCGGCGCTAGTGAACTGCATGGCATGTCCCGGAAGTACATGCGTCATGCAGGGAGATCGAGGTACCGAGTATTTACCGGGACTTACTCCGTAGGCGGCTTTCTTTTATTTCATCACAAGAAAAAAAAGTTAAAAACCGTGCGATTTACGGAGTAGTTCGCGTCGAACTACATGGGAAAGTAAATTGACCCACATTTTACCTGCAATCTACTAGTATGCAGGGGTCAGTGAGTTCGCTAAGCAGCACGTGAGTAAAAAAATCCTGGTTGTGGACTGAGCAATATCGACTAACAAGCATACCCAAGTACCATACATAAGACAATATTTCGACGGCCAAAACTTGCAACTCTTTTCTATTAAATACAACTTAATTCGCCGAAATCAAGCTGCTACGGAGAAATTTCACGCAGCAAGTTGGTTCGTGTCGAACTATATGGGAAAGTAAATTGACCCACATTTTACCTGTAATCTACTAGTATATAAGGGTTAGTGAGTTCGCTAAGCAGCACGTGAGTAAAAAAATCCTGGTTATGGACTGAGTAATATCGACTAATAAGCATACCTAAGTACCGTATATAAGATAACATTTTGACGGCTAAAACTTGTAACTTTTTTTCTGTTGAATATAACTTAATTCACCGAAATCAAGCTGCTACGGAGAAATTTCACGCAGCAAGTTAATCTAGTGTTGGCTCCGAATTTCATCTTATAGGGTATAGACTATGGAGTAGTGGCTTCTAGTGGCGTAGTTCGGCGAATCTTGATCAATATTGGCGCGAGGATTCGGGCGTGACGAATCTCAAGGTGTAGAATTCTGTATATATACATTATATATACATAGTGGTAGGATTTGCATGGTTCAGGAAGATCATTGTTATAACGAGCCTGTCTCATGTAACCACAAGTCGTGTAATCTTCACTAATGTATTAAGTACAATTCAGTGCCCAGAAATGCCCAGAATCGTTAGCATGCCCCTATTCTCAAACCCCTAGCGCTAACTCTATCGGCGCCTAGGCAGTGCACGGCCAGCCCTCGCACAATCGAATCTTCATTTCGTTCTAACTTCTCGCAGGTAGATAGAAGATTCAAGATACGAAGACATTGGTTGCTTTGACTGCAGCTAGTCTGCAGTGGGCTCCTGTTGCCAGAAAATTCTTCGTTCCTCAGCCCAACACAACTCCTGACGACAACTGCACGATCAGTCTCTGGCTTATTTCCATTGTATCATGTCGATCGATGGCGGGATATAGGTAGATCGGATCTATACAACGTGCAAGATGACAACGCAACCCACTAGCAGGCTCCAGAACGCGGGGATAGCCATCGAGATTATCGGCCCTGTTCTTGCTCTCATCTGCGTCAGCCTCAGACTCTACCATAGATTGAAGACGGGCAACCATGGCTGGGGTATGTTGACCTTTTCACACAACGATCAGGGCCACGACAAACACAGTAGGCGCATACTAACACCACCCTTCTAGACGATGCGTGGATTGTTGTCGCCATGGCCCTATCTATCGCGCTTGCTGTTGGGTCCATCAAGGGTATGCATATCGCCTGTGCTTGGGATTCCTAGACAGCACGACACTAACCGAAGTCTTCTAGTCATAAAGCTGGACTATGTCGCCATTCACTACTGGGACGTGCCTAAAAACTACGATCCAACTCCAGGTTTGATGTGGATTTACATCATTGGCGCTGTGTACAATCCGATCCTAGCTATTGTCAAGCAGTCGGTACTTATATTCTTGCTGCGCCTGGCCAGCACTAAGGCCGGTGTTCGCTACGCAGTTTGGGCCGTGTCCGCCTTCAACATTTCTGAGATGATAGCTGTTTTCTTTGTGGTCATCTTTCAATGCAGCCCGATTGCTTCCAACTGGAATCTAGCGCTGACGCCCACTGCCAAATGTATTAATCGAGATGTCTTCGGCTTGACGACGGGCGGCCTCACCATTTTGACGGACTTGTTTACTCTTGCAGTCCCGATTTACATCTTTGTTAACCTCAAAATCAACAGGAAGACAAAGCTTGCACTGAACTTTGTCTTCCTGTTGGGGTTCGCGTAAGTGCTTGTCCTACCAAACAGCCCTCGCTTGACTAACTAACAACCGCTCCTTGCCCATGGCAGTGTCACAATCGTCAGCATCGTCCGCCTCTACTTCCTCGAACAACATCTTGTTGATACCAACCCCGATGCAAACTACAGCCTCGGCTTCTGCGTTAGCTCCATCGAGTGTAATCTGGCCATAATCACGGCTTGCGGGCCTGCCATGTGGCCGCTGTTGCGCACCTGGATACCGCGGGGGTTGACGGGCTACCGTAGTGACAACAACAACGGGGACGTCGAGTTGACCCGCAGTGCAAACCGGACACCAGGCAGTAGTGCCACCCCCATGAATTTGGGACGCCGGTTTTCGCGGAAAGAAATCAAGGACATCAGGGGAGACAATGCGCGTGGCAAAACGTTCATCAGTGCGAGCAGGCCAGAGGACTCCGATGAAGAGGTGTTGATGATGCATGAGACCGTGGGTATCGTGAGAACTACAGACTACAGTGTGGTTCGAGAGCAAGAGAGGAATCGGAGTCGGGATGCGGCTCCGTCAATCTCCATAGGAGAGCATGGCTCATACTAATGTCAGAGCATCATGCAAGAGCTGGCCAGGGAGCTAGTTGTTGGCATTTTGCCATGGATGACATCTCGGCATTTACTACTGAGAAGCGTCGCGACGTCTTGAGAAGTTCGAGAGCTCTGTCGCTTATGATTCTCATCACCGTCAAAGAATGCCGTAGCTCATAATATTATTCTGCCTGTATCTAGTCTCCGTTGATTTCCTTCAGACTGCTTGCTGTACAAGAGCTGAGCGTCCTGACTTCCTGGAGATCTTTAACAGCGGATATTACGGAACAGGTACATTTCCTGAGTGCTATGTAGTAATTAGAATACAAAAATAATTCATCGAAAATAGAAAAGAAGAAATGTTCTATTATACTCCAAGAACTTTATCTATTACATGTTGTAAACCGAGCAAATGCTCACGTATATTATGTTTTCATATAAAGCCGTATAAATCCGCATAGGTCATGAAGCGAGAGAGTCCTTCACTGGGATAGTCTATGCTATGCTATACACGCTGGAATACTAAAACGGTCAGTGTAGAATGCCTATAGCTGCTCCTCTGCTAGTTCACTTTACTCTGTGTATCCGGAAACAAATTAAGCCTCAAGGCACCCATGGATGAATGGATGCTATTGGATCCCAACAAGAATTAAAAGCGGGATCTTTTAGGTTAGCGTCCCCGCTGTAGCTCTTACCTATTTGGGTACGAGACGTTAGGATTCGAGCGACCAGACAGCGGCCTTGCCCAAAACAGCATGGTCTATTCCTGTAGCCCTAATTGTCAATCAGAGACTGAAGCTATAGTTACATAGAAGGACGGGCTAAAGGTCCCGTGTAGATATCTGAAGTCACTTGGTAGACTGAGTGAAACCTATACTTGAATCCAGGACGTTTGACTCACCAGACTCTTGTCTGTATGTCGCAATCTTTACCCATCGCACCAACGCATTCGTTCATTCATCGTTAGGTCCACTGCAAAGTACGAGACGAGCACAATGACGGACGAGAGGGTTGGTACGCGTAGTAGGGAGTCACCTGACAATTGTTTGCCATGGGTTATTACTTGCAGGATGAGGCATCTGTAAGCGATTGACAACATAGTTTCTGTGTGCATTTTTAAGATCTCCTTTTATACTAGTCTAGAAGGATATCGAGTAGAGATCTAGGTGAGAAGCCGTGTGTCACCGTTTTCTTGTTAATTCGGAAACGACGAATAATGGCGGGGAAAAGAGGATGATTGTTTTCACCTTTAGTTACGGCTGAAATTGTATAACATGAAGGCTCCTGGGGCTCTGTTATGGCCACTGTCCGCTTGTCATCATTGTGTCATATGTCCATTTCCTGTCTTCAATTAGCTACTTGATTTACTTCACTCTGTTTCGTCTTACGATTGTAACCCTTGTGATAATATATATATATACCTAGGTATGGTAGGCCCAACAAAAGTAGTTGAGAATTACGTATTGGCGCAATTACAGTGTTCTTCAAAGGGCTTAGAATAATATGCCCTCACAAGCACGTGCGAGATAATCAAGGCATATCGAACGGGAATAGGAGCAGATCTATCTAAGGTACATCGGCGATACCACGTTGTAATCACTAACGGTTAGGGTTAATAATGTTCAGAAGCTAAAAAAGCTTCGTCTTCTCAAAGGCAAGAGTTACATATACTAATTCATGTTACTATATACGAAGTTAGTAGGTCGATGTTACAGATTCGTGTGAACAACAATATCAAGGTTGATATAACCACTTCGCCGTTGCTTAGCGAACAGTGAATTTTTGAGCCTACTACATAGTTTTACAGCTAAAGATCCCAGGCCATACCAATAACATCGTATAAGCTCAAACCCTAGCAGCCTCTCTTAAAAATTTGAAGTATGCTGGGGCCTATTTCTTCCTCTACGATTTGCTATATATCATCAGTAGCGGGGCCATGAGAAGTGACCCGACAACAAGGCAGCCATAAATCGTGAATGCCACGCCATAATTCATTGCGTCAATCAGGTTTTGAGTGGTGAATGAGATTGCAAAATTGATTACCGATGATAAGCAGGCAAGGACAACGACAATTTCTCCAGAGACCTAGGCATCTGAGTATAGTGTCAAGAAAATCAATCAGGTATTATGAGAACTTACTTTATCAAAACATTCCATGGTATACGCGGTTGCAATTGTGGCAGTTGCAGCCTGTTGTGACACTAGAAAGCATAGGCCAATGGCAATCACGATCCAGGGGGCACCAGTCTGCGCACCCCAGCCATACATCATATAGCCAACACAAGTGTAAATCAAAGATACGATGACAGCCCAAAGGCGTTGTTCTGGCTCTCTATAGCCCTTGTTTTGGCGTGCTAGGCGAAGAACAAGTAGATCAGAAGAGTGACCGGTTACCAAACTGGCACACTTTCATCAATAATCTTGAACTTTATACTTGACCGGGGGGGGGGGGG